CTCTCTCTCTCTCTCTCTCTCTCTCTCTCTCTCTCTCTCTCTCTCTCTCTCTCTCTCTCTCTCTCTCTCTCTCTCTCTCTCTCTCTCTCTCTCTCTCTCTCTCTCTCTCTCTCTCTCTCTCTCTCTCTGTTAATAACTAAATGAGAGAGCGGCATAGGGGATAATTAATACGACAGCTTGCTTCCACACACCATCGTCCCCTCGCGCACTCATACCTCTAATTTGTTCGCACCGCTCGCTCGTGCCATCACTCTTAATGCTAGCTGGTTTTCGTTATAGTCCCTTCTGTGGACCTAACCCTAAACCTGCCTCTAGCCCTACCCCTACCCTTAGCCCTACCCCTAACCCTGGTCCTAACCCTAACCCTAAACCTGCCTCTACCTCTACCCCTAACCCTGGTCCTAACCCTAACCCTAAACCTGCCTCTACCCCTACCCCTAACCCTAACCCTAACCCTATCACTAACCCTGCGTCTAATCCTAACCCTATCACTAACCCTATCACTAACCCTAATCCTAACCCTATCACTAACCCTATCACTAACCCTAATCCTAACCCTATCACTAACCCTATCACTAACCCTAATCCTAACCCTATCACTAACCCTATCACTAACCCTAATCCTAACCCTATCACTAACCCTAATCCTAACCCTATCACTAACCCTATCACTAACCCTAATCCTAACCCTATCACTAACCCTATCACTAACCCTAATCCTAACCCTATCACTAACCCTATCACTAACCCTAATCCTAACCCTATCACTAACCCTATCACTAACCCTAATCCTAACCCTATCACTAACCCTATCACTAACCGTTGTTGTTGCAGTTGCTGCACATTAAGAGTAACAAATACTTGAACGTGAACCGACGGCTGCCTGCTCTACTGGAGAAGAACGCTATGAGAGTGACGCTAGACAAAGAAGGAAGTNGACAGAGTGAGAGAGAGAGGGGAGGGGGAGCGGAGAGAGCAAGAAAGAGAAGGACGGACAAGAAGACAAGGAGGGGAGGAAAGCCGCCTGCCGCCCTAACTATCACTAGGTATTCATGTTCATGTCGCGGCTCTCTTCTCTTTCCTCTGTCTTTATTGTTAATTAGAGAGCGGGCATTATTCGCCGGAGCTGTTTAACACCCGCTGCTTCTCTCTCTCTCTCTTCACCTTCTCTCCCTCTAGTCTCTCTCTCTCTCTATCTGTGTTAATAACTAAATAAGGCAGAGCGGCCATAGGGATAATTAATACGACAGCTTGCTTACCTACTCTAATTTGTTCGTACCGCTCGATCGTGCGATCACTCTTGAATGCGTAGTGTTTTTCATTATCAGATCTCTTCTGTGGGACCTACCTAACCTGGACCGTAACCTAACCTGCTCTACCTAACCTGCCTCTAGCCTACCCCTAACCATGGTCCTAACCTAACCCTGACCCTAACGCCTATCACTGGACTCTCACCCTGCCTCGTACCCACTACCCCTACCCTAACGCCTACCCGAACCCCAAACCCTACCCTAACCCTGCCTCTTATCCGTAACCCTTATCACTAACCGTGCCTCTATTACCATCTAACGCTTCCTAACCCATAACCCTAACCCCTAATTCCTAAACCTATCGACTTAAACCCGTATCACTATCCCTATCCTCACCCTAACTCCTAACCCTATCTACCGTGTGTGTTGGCAGTTGCTGCACATTGAAGAGTAATAATACTTTTGAACGTTGATACCGGACGGTGCCTGCACTCTACTGGAGATGACGCATAGTGAGAGTGACGCTAGACAAGGAAGGAAGCGAGGGATCCTGGTTCTACGTGGTTCCCTTCTACAAGCTACGCACACAGGGAGACAAGGCGCACGCACGCACGGGCACGCACGCAACGCACGCACACCACAGCGCGCGGATTGGCCACACTCATACACACGCGACGCGGTCGTGGAGCACGCCACGCCACACACGCAACGCACGCACACACGCACGCACGCCACAACGCGACGCACGCACGGCCTAGACAAGGAAGGAAGGCGTGGGATCCTGGCTTCCTATGACGTGGTTCCCTTCTTACAGCGTACGCACACAGGGAGAGCAAGTGGTACGCACGCACGGCAACGCGCACGCACGCACCTACAACACGAACAGCTGGCGCGCACGTGCACGCCACGCACACACACCGGCACAGCATTTTTCGCACACACGCACGCAGATCTTTCGCTTGCTTTCACTGAACTGGTTTAGTTTATAAGTTTCTCCGTGAAATCGGGGAATTAGAATGTTTTTGGCGAGAAAAAGTTGCAGCCAAAGAAAGATTGCTTCGTGGGAAATCCAGTCCATTCTTGTCTATTAGACATAGAGAACCTGCTAAGATGACTGGCTAATACTTCATTTTCAACCTATTTTAAGGATGTAAATGTGGCGATCAGAGATTATGGAATCGACCAAGTAACAATTCGTAGATATCTTTGATCTATTGCTAAACCGGAATTTTTCTCTATCTAATGCTATCCCCCACCCACCACCTATTCCCGGCAGACAGCCGTAGTTACTGTACTCTTGGACACGTCGTATATACATGCATGTATACGCCAGCAATTATGCAGCTGAAAACACCGGCAGAAAAGCCGAATAATAATATAATAAAAACCGAACGCAATTCGAATGAAAGTTGAGTAAATTCCCAGCGGGATGTAGATGGGGATGGTCGGGGGAAGGTTGGGGGAAGGTCGGAGGAAGGCGGGGGAGAGGGGAGAAGCCACAGGGAAGAATCAACGGGGGAAGGTCGGTGAAGAAGGGGAGAAACCTCAACGAGGAATCAACAGGGAAGGTCGGGGGAAAGGGGGGGAAACTATTAGCGGAGAGGAATCCATCAGCGCAGACCTCGATAAGNGTTGGTGTGTGTGTGTGTGTATAAGCTCTGTGTGTGGAACTAGCTTAATTAAGACCTTGGCTTCTTTATCGCGTCCCCACTCCAGCGCAGCTGTCCACTCTCACAGCCACTCATCAACGTCGAGAGAGTATCTTATTGACTTTCTGCTTGCCGCTCTCTCATCGCTCGCAATCTCACTTCACCCGTTCAGTGTTTTACCGCGCAACCGTGGAAGTCAGTTATTAAGATCTGTAGTGGTTATTATTATTATTATTATTATTATTATTATTATTATT